AGAGGGTGCCCAGAGAGGTGGTGGAGTCTCCATCTCTAGAGACATTCAAAATCCATGTGGACATGTTCCTGTGGGACGTGCTCTGGGTGGACCTGCTTTGGCAGGGGGGTGGACGAGATGATCTCCAGAGGTCCCTTCCAACCCCGCACGGTCTTGTGATTCTGAGCGTGTCCTGATTGTTCCCCAAAGCCGTGCTGTAAGGCAGCTCTGGGTGTTTGGAGAGGGGGGGGAAACGATAAAAATAACCAGGAGGGAGGAGGTGGCAGGGTTTAAGGCAAGTGACAGGGTCAGGGACTCGGTTGGTGCCAGGGTTGGGGTCCCAGACTGTACCAGGGTCGGGGTCTCAGCCAGTACCAGGGTTGGGGTCTCGGCCGGTGCCTGGAGGTGTGCTGAGCAGGGTGCCCCTGGCCAAGGATGGACCTGGAGGTGATTTCCCCCATCCTGCCCCGCCCTGCTTCTCTCCATAGACCTTCCCAGTTGCCCCCACTGCCCTCTCCAAGCTGATCCGGCTCTTGGTCTTCCACCTTCCCAGTTGACTTGGGGGGAGACCAGTTTCCTTCCCTGCCCATGGCACTGCAGTGGCTGGGGGCTTCCCCTGGGGGCCATGGAATTACAGAGTCGTTTGGGTGGGAAGGGACCTTAAACCCTCCCCAGTCCCATCCAGGGACACCTCCCACCAGCCCAGGTTGCTCCAAGCCCCCTCCAACCCGGCCTTCAACCCCTCCAGGGATGGGGCAGCCACAGCTTCTCTGGGCAACCCGGGCCAGGCTCTCACCACCCTCCCACCAAACAAGTTCTTCCCCACAGCTCAGCTCCATCTCCCCTCTTTCAGGGTCAAACCCTTCCCCTTCCTCCTAGGGCTCCCCTCCCTCATCAAGAGTCCCTCCCCATCTCTCCTGGAGCCCCTTGAGGGACTGGAAGGGGCTCCAAGGTCTCCCCGGAGCCTTCTCCTCTCCAGGTTGAACCCCCCCAACTCTCTCAGCCCTCCCCCTCACAGTAGAGGGGCTCCAGCTCTCCCAGCATCTCCATGGCCCTCCAATGGACCTTTTCCAACAGGTCCATGTCCATGGAGCACCTGGTGCTGGGATTGGTGCTGCTGGCTGGGACCCTGGCCGCCGGCAACCCCCTGAACATCAAGGCCGTCGAGGAGAAGGTGCTGGACATGGCCCCCACCACCTTCGACGACCAGTACAGGGGCTGCAGCCGCATGATGGAGAAGGAGCTGGTGGAGCTCAACCGCACCGAGTTCACCAACAACAGTGTCTACGCCGAGTCCTGGACCAAGGCTGCTGCCGAATGGCGGAACCGGGGGGCTCGTGTCCCCCAGCCACCGGCGCTGCGGACGGAGCATGCGGTGGCCCTCCTGGCGTACACCCTGCATGGAGGGTTTTACCAGACCTTCAACGGGGCCGTGCGTGAGGCCGGGCGCTCCCGCAGGGAATACCTGGACAAATTCCAGTTCAAGGTGCTGCATTTCCTCATGACCCAGGCCCTGAACATCCTGCAGAACGCCCAGTCCCGCCGCTGCCACCAGGTCTACCGGGGTGTCCAGGGCATCCGCTTCACCGCCCGGCGCCAAGATCTCGTCCGCTTCGGCCAATTCACCTCCACCTCCCTCCGGAACAAGAGTGCCCTGGACTTTGGGCAGGACACCTTCTTCTCGGTCTACACCTGCTACGGCGTCCCCATCAGGAACTTCTCCTTCTACTCTGACGAGGATGAGGTCCTCATCCCACCCTTTGAGAGATTCAAGGTCACCAACATCACCAA